AGTGTCGTCGCGATCGCATGCTTTGAATGTGACTTTGTACTGCCGCGGCTTGCTGTCGTACTTGCGATCGGAGATGACGTGGTCAACTTCCTGATGGCCATCCATAGAAGGAGGGTCATGCGATCGTCGGACCGGAAAGTCGTCGCTCTTGGCTGGCATGTATGTTGCCAGCTTCGAGGCGTGGAAGACCGGATGGACCGTCAGATGCTCTGGAATGTTGATCACAAATGAAGGGCCATCGAGCTCATCGCCCGCGGCTGCTGTCACAGACTAAGGTCCAAACCACTTGGGAAGCAGTTTGCGTGAAACATCCTCTTCCAGTGCAAACACTTCCGCGGAGACCCAAACCAGATCACCGGCGCGGATGGGACATGGTACGCGACGCCTGTTGGCTTGCTGCTGCATGCGGACTTGAGCCTTTTGCATATTTGCGCGGGCTTGAGTCAGCAATTCCCTGTACTCCCGGACGGAAGCGGGAGAGCAAGCAGTGTCAATGTCGGCTGGTCGAGGGAGGAGAAGGTCTGCGAAGATCCGGCCTTTCCGTCCACCGTGGTGCAACTCGAATGGAGTCACGCCGATCGCCGGATGCACCGAAGTGTTGTAGGCGAACTCGATGTCGGGGAGGCAGTCAACCCAATCTTTCTGGTCCGGACGGATGAGCGTACGAAGCATCATTTGAGCGGTTTGATGTGCCTGCTCCGTCTGCCCGTCTGTCTGAGGATGTCGAGCCGAACTTCGTTTCATTGTTGTACCGGACTCCTGCATGAGAGCAGTCCAAAACGCCGACATGAAACGAGTGTCGCGGTCGCTGACTACGTCTTCTGGTACACCGTGGCCACAAATCCAACCGGTGTGCAGGAGGCGTGCCAGCTCGGGAGCCGTGGAGTAGTACTTGCAAGGGAGAAAACGCGCGTACTTACTCAATCGGTCCACCACCATGAGGATGCCGTCGTGCCCGAGCCGATCGCGAGGAAACGGACCGGTGACGTCCATGGCAATGGAGAGACCAGGTTCCCGTGGGATAGGCATCAGGTGTAACTCACCGTAGGGATTGCGGTTGCGGGGCTTGCTGCGTCGGCAAACTTCGCAAGAGTCGCAATACCGAGTGAAATCGGTAATGAGGACGGGCCATCGGAATCGCTGTCGAAGCCGTGCAATAGTGCGGTTGACTCCGAAATGGCCGGCGAGTCGTGAATCATGATACTCGCCGAGGAGGCGAGTCCGAAGACGACGGTCGCGTGGGACACATAGTAAGTCCTTGCCTCTCAAGTGGAGGAGCAGGTACCCGTCGACAATGCGGAAATGGCTGGCCGGCGGGTGATCCGAAGATAGCTGTGCATAGAGCGTTCCGAAGTCCGGATCAGACTGATATGCCCGGATGAAATGTCACTGAAGCTCCTCGTCGAATGCGAAGGCATGATGTGCCATAGCGCAAAGATCAGGTCTTCTCGAGAGTGCATCTGCTGGGCGATTGGAGAGGCCGGGGACATGTTTCGGTGTGAAGTCAAATTGGTCGATGAAGTACATCCATCATCCGATCGTGCTGCTCACCGTGTCCAGCGTCTTATAGTAGGTCAATGGATTGTTGTCTGTCACCCATGTGAACCTACGACGCCCAAGGAGGAAGTGACGCCAGTGCTTGAGAGCCATCATGAATGCGAGCAGCTCTTTCTTCCTTCCATCATCAAGCGAGTTGATGGGAGGCACTTTGTGGCTGAAATACTCCACAGGGTGCCAGTCGTCGCCGTCGTGCTGTTCCAAGACTGCTCTAATGCCATAGCCGGAAGCGTCCGTAGTCACTCGCGTCGGCAGGGTGGGGTCATAGATGCTAAGGACGGGTGCCATGAGCATAGCCGTCTTAAGTGCTTGGAATGACCGGCGTGCGTCGTCAT